AGTATGTTAATAAACAATATTGTTACAACAAATGGTGTTGTGTACATGCCTATAAAGTCCAAAATCCACAACCAAAATTCTTCTCCTGGAGGTTCCTACATGATGGGATTAGTCTTGTGTCAACTTTACCTTGTTACCCAATCAGTGTGGGATGTTTATCTCAATGTGTAATATTTGTTTTTATTGTTCATGTTGGGACTGCTCCTATTTTAGAACTGTATTAAAACCTTTATTTCCGTTCAATAAAGGAGTTTCAGTTGCTCCTAAGCTAGTGTTTTCTAGTTCTTGGGTGCATTGTTCAGCTATAATACTTGTTCCTGTGTCCCAGCGGTGATGAAGCAGTCTGGGGTGAGAACCCAGGTGGGGTGCCAGGCGGTCCGTTACAAATGTTTACTTGTTTTCATAAATATAACTATAAATATGTGTTTTTTATTATTTAACATTTTTTACCATTGTACATTAGCTGCTTTTAAACTATACCTCTCAGCATAATTTGCACCAGAGCCATTTTTAGGATGATAAAGTGGATATTAATATAAGTGAGGTTTCCTATAACACAAAATTTCTCTTTTATTGCAGATGAGACAGTTACAAGTAGGAATGAGCTCAAGGTTAGGTAGGAACACAAGTTATGGCCAGGCTTTGGCTGTTCAGACATTCGTCTAAAAAGCTAAATTTTTTTCTCTGTATTTCTACAGCTACTATCTATTTACTAGTACCATCCTATCAGGAGTTGTTAAGGAAACAGTGGGCCCCTGCTGTGACCTTCACAAACAGTGGTGTCACCTGGCTCCTCTAGTTTGCTGGCCCTAGCAATATAATCAAGTGGACGGGCATAGGGCTGATATCAATGATCAATTATGGCCACATAGCCATAGTTAGTCAAAGACATCAGCAGAGAGTGCCACCAATTTGTTTACTTGGTCGTGGAGATTGGGAGATGTCATTCAGTGCCAGGGAGCAAAGGGAGCAGTTCGTATTGTCAGTTAGTGTTTTTTTTTTTCATTCAGCAGCGATGGTTCACTGTGATTGATATGGATCTGCATCGCTAAATAACAGGATTAATGTTGGGAGTACATCATGCAATATTTTGGGGTTTTTATAATTTGTTTAAAGACTTGTAAAAAAGTGTGGTGCCATTATTTGCTGTTCACATTTTTTTACTAATTCACATGGGGTAAAGAGTTGGTGTCTAGGAGCCCCCTTGTTTTAAAGGTGGTTTGCAGTTTCCAAAAGCCCCCTTGCCCACAAGCTCCCACAACTACTGGGTCAGGGTTGTGGGAAAGTTGTCCTTGTCCTCTTCAATAAGGTACCCACATGTTGAGGGCAGATAATGGTCTGGTATGGATTTTTTTTGTATGAGGTCACCCTTGACATCAGGCTCTGGTATACATTTTTAGGGGTAACCCTACACCAAATAACATTTATATCAGACTGTCATCTAGAATCTAAGTGGCCAGAGCTGTTCTTTAAAAACAATTTATACAGCTTTTTCTTTCTTTATAAATATCAGCTTTGCTGTAGTATGTTGCATACATCAGTTTCAGGGCTCCCCCAGGCATATTATTTAAATAAAAGGGCTGCTTCCCACCAATGGAATTTTTTTCTTTGGTATATGTCCTCAAAGAGAGTGTCAGGCCCTCCATGCTATTTTTTGACAGTCCTTTGCCTGTTAGCCTAAAAAAAGGCCATTACTGTTTTAACATTCGGTTCCCTTGAATTTAATGGTATGAATTTAGCACCTGAACTTTAGTAATATTTACTGGACTGGCCTCAAATCAAACCCAGGTACGTTCAGCTCATCCATCATTATCAGCAGTTGCAAACAACTGGCTGCTTTACACCTAGGACTAGGAAGAAGAGAGAGGCTTTGTCAACCACCTCTTCCTCATGCTGTGGCTGTATAGTTAGGGCTTCCTGAGTTTAAAAAGACAGATGTTCCCTGCATCTACAGGCAAGTCCATAAATATTGGGACATCGACACAATTCTAACATTTTTGGCTCTAGACACCACCACAATGAATTTGAAATGAAACGAACAAAATGTGCTTTAACTGCAGACTGTCAGCTTAAATTTGAGGGTATTTACATCCAAATCAGGTGAACAGTGTAGGAATTACAACAGTTTGCATATGTGCCTCCCACTTGTTAAGGGACCTAAAGTAATGGGACAATTGGCTTCTCAGCTGTTCCATGGCCAGGTGTGTGTTATTCCCTCATTATCCCAATTACAATGAGCAGATAAAAGGTCCAGAGTTAATTTCAAGTGTTCTATTTGCATTTGGAATCTGTTGCTGTCAACTCTCAAGATGAGATTCAAAGAGCTGTCACTATCAGTGAAGCAAGCCATCATTAGGCTGAAAAAACAAAACAAACCCATCAGAGAGATAGCAAAAACATTAGGCGTGGCCAAAACAACTGTTTGGAACATTCTTAAAAAGAAGGAACGCACAGGTGAGCTCTGCAACACCAAAAGACCCGGAAGACCACGGAAAACAACTGTGGTGGATGACCGAATAATTCTCTCCCTGGTGAATAAAACACCCTTCACAACAGTTGGCCAGATCAAGAACACTCTCCAGGAGGTAGGTGTATCTGTGTCAAAGTCAACAATCAAGAGAAGACTTCACCAGAGTGAATACAAAGGGTTCACCAGAAGATGTAAACCATTGGTGAGCCTCAAAAACAGGAAGGCCAGATTAGAGTTTGCCAAACAACATCTAAAAAAGCCTTCACAGTTTTGGAACAACATCCTATGGACAGATGAGACCAAGATCAACTTGTACCAGAGTGATGGGAAGAGAAGAGTATGGAGAAGGAAAGGAACTGCTCATGATCCTAAGCATACACCTCATCAGTGAAGCATGGTGGTGGTAGTGTCATGGCGTGGGCATGTATGGCTGCCAATGGAACTGGTTCTCTTGTATTTATTGATGATGTGACTGCTGACAAAAGCAGCAGGATGAATTCTGAAGTGTTTCGGGCAATATTATCTGCTCACATTCAGCCAAATGTTTCAGAACTCATTGGACGCCACTTCACAGTGCAGATGGACAATGACCCAAAGCATACTGCAAAAGCAACCAAAGAGTTTTTTTAAAGGGAAAGAAGTGGAATGTTATGCAATGGCCAAGTCAATCACCTGACCTGAATCTGATTGAGCATGCATTTCACTTGCTGAAGACAAAACTGAAGGGAAAATGCCCCAAGAACAAGCAGGAACTGAAGACCGTTGCAGTAGAGGCCTGGCAGAGCATCACCAGGGATGAAACCCAGCGTCTGGTGATGTCTATGCGCTCCAGACTTTAGGCTGTAATTAACTGCAAAGGATTTTCAACCAAGTATTAAAAAGTGAAAGTTTGATTTATGATTATTCTGTCCCATTACTTTTGGTCCCTTAACAAGTGGGAGGCACATATGCAAACTGTTGTAATTCCTACACCGTTCACCTGATTTGGATGTAAATACCCTCAAATTAAAGCTGACAGTCTGCAGTTAAAGCACATCTTGTTAGTTTCATTTCAAATCCATTGTGGTGGTGTATAGAGCCAAAAATGTTAGAATTGTGTTGATGTCCCAATATTTATGGACCTGACTGTATATGGTGTAGCCTGACCACTGCTTTGTCCCAAAAAACCTTCTCACCCTCTATTACCTTCACATGCAGAGCCTCTGCCTCTTCCTTTAGGCCTGGATTGTATAAACTAAGCCTTGTTTACTGTGCACATGTGGAGTGCAGTGAAAAATGTGAGTGGTTTTATTCCTTTTTTACATAAGGGTGTAGTATAGATTTTGTGGAGCTCCTCATACCCTTTTTTCCTGGTTTTTTTTTTGCATAGGGTTCCCGCTTAACGTATATACCAGTTCTATCAGGGGGACCCCAAGCATTTTTTTTGTATGGTGGTCCCCCTTGACATCCATAAAAGACCTTTATCAAGGATAGGGGTCTGATGTGCATTTTTCACAGGAACTCTATGAAGTTTTTTTTTGTGTGGGGGGGGCCTCCTTTCAAATAAATAACAAACCCTCATCTAGGAAAAGGGTCTGGTATAGATGAAGATAATACCTGGTTGTTTGTTTACAAAGAAAGGTAACAGGGGAAAACAGGAAGTAACGGACCACTGATTGCAGTAACATTAAGGATCTTTTTTAACCCCCTCTCCTGTCCTTTCTTTCCTACACATTTTAAACACTCGCTTGCCGTTCCATGTGACCTGTATATTAATCCTTCACCTCCCTTATCCTTCACATCTGTACAGTAATATCTTCATCTCTATCCACCACTGTGTGTAGCCAGTACATTAACCCCTTGACCACATTCTTACTCTGTGTATGACCTGTATCTGCTGTATCAAGTGCATCATTACCAAGCTCTTTGTTCTAATCCCCTCAATACTGCCACCTGTTTCTTCATTTCAAAACAATTGGGGCATACAATGAGATCACCTTGGGGTGTTTACATTCCAAAATGGGGTTCTCTACGGGGGAGGGGGGGTATAATGTCCTTGAATTTTATTTTCACAAAAAGTAAGGGAAAGAGCCAAGGTATCACAGCACTGGAAACTAAAACTGAAAACTCGGGTAATACATGCTAGTACTCAAGTGGTTAAAAATTCAGCAAAGTCAACTTCACAAAAAGCTCCTATTTTGCTTATGTGCGGATACTATTGAGCAGAGTAACACATTACCTTTTCACTGACATTCATAGTAGGAATACCCTCTCTGCTGGGAAAAGACTAAACAAGTAGGCACAATGGGGTTTATTTACTAAAGCTGGAGAGTACAAAATCAGACCCACTTCTGCTTAGAAACCAATCGGCTTCCAGGTTTTATTGCTAAAGCTTAATTGAACAAGCTGAGGTTAGAAGCTGATTGGTTTCTATGCGGAAATTTGCCTGATTTTTCACTCTCCAGCTGTAGTAAATAAACCCCACTGTGCTTCTATTAGCTCCTGTTATATGAAGTGAACACTTTACATTGAGAAAACCCATTTGACATACCTCATGGTACTTCTTATTGACTTTAGTTGGTGTACATTGGCATTCATTGCAGCTGTAATTGCAGCAAGCACAATTGCCACCACATCGCTTAACCAGCAGACAACTTGGCCAAAATATGGCATCCGTCCGCTTCAGTTCTTCCCGTAGAGATACTGAAAAGTTACGTGGTGTGCAACTGTACAGACGTACCTCCTCTTTCATAATACTCAGGTCACTTCCTGGGAAATGAAGCACAACATTGCAAATCAATTATTATTGCCCAATACTTTGTTATAGGGCCACAATAAGCTGTCACAGACTGAACAGCGTACAGTATGTTATAAATCATGAGCACTAGAAAATGGGAATACACCAGAAATCACAACCATTATCAACTAAGATGCTACATATATTTTAATATACATGCACAAGTAAATTCAATCCTTCATTAGCATAATATTTACAGCAAGTGTATATTGCAGCAGGTATTTAGGCTGCCCATGCGGGATTTCCTGCATGATAGGGGTTGAGGAAAGACCTGGCAACCTACCCAGTAAAATAATTGCTAAGAGAATTCATGGAAAAAGTCGCTTGCGAGTGACGGTCCATGCAATCGCCAAGGGTCGGATATGACTGAATGGATAGATAGAGATAGAGATTTAGGCTGAAAATAAGAGTTGTCTAACTATCATGATTATCCATTGGCTTCTGCCATTTCTAAATTAAGGATCAGGGATACGTATGCAGGTCAGAAGTTCTGACTTCCTCTAACTTCACATTTTGAATGCTGACTAAGGAAGCAGTGACACAAAAGAAAGCCTGGAAACTAACATGTACAAAATGAGGTCACCAATGGAAGCCCCATATTTCTATCTATTCCTTCGCAAACTAAATTCATGGAATGGCTGTGTTGCTATAAAACTTCTTATTGTTTTTATTGGCAACAACTGTAGGGCTGCATTCACACTTATAGCTGCTATGAAAACGGGCAAAAATGCTCAACATGCTTGTGGTGACACTATTGTTTAATGGCACCCCAAACGCGGTGCAATTTTGTCTGCGTTTGTCATGCAACAAAACATGTCACCAAACTTGCCAAGCTGGAGGCCAAAATTTGGCACATGCGCTTCTTTGTTTTTTTTTCAAGTGAATGTGCTGATTTATGTGCATAATTTCTCCTCTATTCCTATTTTAGTGACAACTCTGAAAGTTTAAATTTCCCATAATTTTTTGTCTCAGGACAGAGAATCACTCAACTGTGGTTACAAACAACCGGGGATTAAAACTGGGACTGGGGAACAACTGGGGATTCTAACCCTTCAATGCAATTAGCAGAAACATATCTAAAGTATAAGGGGCATAATATAGTATTGAATTTCACAGAAACCAAACATTCACTGCAGGTGAACCAATCACTATAATTTAAAACACATGCACTAGGTAGATACACCTCTAATGAATATTTGGTAAATGCCACATTCAGTACTTTTTAAATATACCCCTATATTATAAATATAATGTAAGTATTAATTACATATTTCTTGCTTCTGTTGGCATTGCACAACAGTGACACAGATATTACAAACATTAGTGCTTTTTGGTATATGCTGTGGTACTTTTACAACTGATAACCTCAGGCATGTTTGGCCTTTTTAATAAAAGCAGCAGTATTTGTTATTTATTTAACAAACAGAGTTTACTTCATAAGGACTAGAATGGGCCGTTGCAAAAGAGTGAAGTCAACATTCCTAGTCATGGTCTTAAACAGAGCCCAATAATCTCTTTCTGGTGGAACAGCACCAATATTTGAAATTTAAAGATGTGTGATGTAGTGAAATAGGCTGCCTAACATGGGTGTCATTTGAGTAGCACAATTTAATATAAATTCTGTAATATTTCTTATTTTAAAATGCATGTTTTATTGACTAAATTAAAAGATTTAAAATGAGATTATGAGACTCCCTCCCTATCTCTTACCATCAGCCAGCATAGGATATTGAATTATAAGTGCCCTTGCACACTGGATATTTAGTTCCTCTGCATGAGATTAGGGATGAGTTCAGTGTTCAGGATGTTTGGACATGTATTCGAATTCCGATCATTTAGGGCATTTGGCGCAGGTGAGGGTGACAGCTTCCAGCTGTCAGTGGTTGCTAAGGAAGCAGTGGCTGCTTGCGCCTGCTGCGTCCTTACCAACCACTTACATCACTAGACATAAACAGTTAAATGGCCAGGAATCCCTGGCCATGTAAGCAAATGGGCAGGGACTGGCGCTGGTTACATCATTGCCAAAATATGGCCACATGGCCATAATTGGGCAATAATGTCACCGCTATACTTGCTTTCAAGGGTCGCTAAGGAAGCAGGGGCTGCTTTCACCTGCTGCATCCCTAAAAATCATTGACATCACTCAGCCTATTCCATGATATAGATAGGAATCACTGGTTTTGTTTTTTTGTCTTTTGTTTTTTTGGGTTTTTTTTGGGTGAGTTGGAGGTGGCGAGCATTATGATTGAGAATGAATTTACAATGAGGGATTTTTATGGGATTTAAAATTTTTTTAAAAAAGGACTTGGGTGTCTGTTCTCCTAACCTCTTTTTTTCTTTTGTGAATGAGTAGGAGTATTATGTATTTATACAAGGAAGGGGGGTTGGTATCTGTGGGCTCTCTTATTATTATAGGGGGCTTTCAGATTCCATTAAGCCTCTCACCTGTAGACCCCCACAAACCCCAAACAAGGGTTGTTGTGAAGAGGCCCTTGACATCCTCATCAACATGAGGGCAAGGTGCTTTGCCGGGGAACCGTGTTGCAGGCATATAGCCAGGTATTGTTCAGAAGAAGAGGGGATATATGTTTGTCCCTCCCCTTTTCTGGTCAGCCAGCAGCCAAACTGAGATTAAGAGTCTGGAATTGAAAAAAATCACTACTCTCATAATATTTAAACATTTTTCTAGCATTGATACATATTTTCCAGGGTAGTGCCTCTATGCTATTTTTTAAATACCTCTTTGCCTATTAGCCCAGAAAATGGGCATGTTTAATTTGGCAGATTCGCCTGATTTTAATGGAGTTTCAGTTTCGGCATCCAAACCTCATTGATGTTCACTACAACACACATCCTCCCTATGTAATGAAGCTGAGGAAAGGGGAAGGTATTCTGTAGTCCTAACACACTTCCTGCCCTAGGGTGACAATGCTGCTCCTCCGTACAGTGCAGTTAGTAAGTGCTGTCACCGTAAAACAAGGAGTGTGTTACTAGCAGGATTACCTGTTAAAAATAAAGACACCGCCCCCCCCCCCCCAAAAAAAACAAAAAAACAAAACAAATGCAGCCACCACCTTTATGGACCCATAAACTGTAATCTATTACACTTTTCTTTTTAAGTTTAGATACAGCAGCCAATGATGAGGATAAACCTGGATACATTTAAGGACCACAGTCTAAAGTCAGTTACAGCTTTATAAACACATACAATCTTTTTTAAAACCCTAAACTGTTAAAACATTGTAAGAGAGGATCTAAGTTAATTGGGTAGTTTAATTTTCCATATTCAAATATTTGCATATCTTCTCCATTATTCCAGCCAAATGGTACGAATACACAGAGGTTTAGAGCAATGCCAAAACAAATTCTACAATTATAATAATCTGTGAACGTTTGGGAAGAGTGAAACAAACAGGATAATAAAAATGGGCAGCTTTAAAAGTTAAAGTCTACACAAAAACAGCAGATGGATAAACATTCTGTCTGTAGGTATCTTCACATTGTAGCACTATACTACACATACACAGTAGTAATACATTAATGTATAGTCCATCATTTTCAGAACTCAGATGAATAACATATGTCTTTCTCTATGGATATAAACAGTGCATCAAATGAATAATGTTACATAGTTATCACCTCTTGCCAGTCATTAAGTATCCAGATTTAGACACAGTGAAGCCTATGTGAAAGATATCAGACATAAATAGCATCTTTACAAATTGACATGGACACTAATGATGAAATTTATTTTAATAGCATGCTGCAATTTGACATGCTGTACAACATATTACACATACCTCTGGATTTTCTGCCATGGATATAGGATTTCCCAAGTAATTGCCATGTTGGTCTGTACAATTCCTCAATGTCCAACTGCCATCGGTCTGGTTCAAGGTATCTGATTACTTCTTCTACAGTTCCAAAACGGGAGACTGTTGTACTAAGAACATCTAGTGGCAGTGCTGAAGGGGGAAGCACTGAGGGGCTGACCGGTTCTGCTTGTTGCTACAAAGAAAATGATAATATTTTTATTAACATTTTTTTACCAAACAATAGAAGAATTAGAAAAAAAAAAAAAATTCTATTCATTTGCAGAATATGTATTACTAACTACCTATATATGAGTTCATTCATCATGAAAAAGTCAAACCAGGCTTCACTAGTCCTATTTATAAAATATCTTGTTATTTAGAAACATCTTCCAGAACCTGAATCATACTGTAGGATTCAAGTTTATTGTACAAATGGCCAGCAAGGCCATCCAGGTATCAACTTTCAGACAACTAAGCAGTTATAAATGTTCAGCAGCAAAGTAAAGTCCAACTAATGAAGGCTGCCCTCTGATTTGCTGCTATGGGTTATTGCACATGCTCGACTTTCATGCTGTGCCATGAAAAAATTTAAATCAACATCTAATGAGTTTAACTTTATTACATATACAAAACATACCAAGAATTATGTGTAAAATGAGAAACACAGTGCAATAGTCAAATAATTCATTAAGGGGTTGATATACTAAAACTAGAGAGTGCAAAATCTGGCGCAGCTGTGCATGGTAGCCAATGAGCTTCAAACTTCAGCTTGTTCAGCTAAGCTTTGACAAAAACACTTGAGAGCTGATGGTTTCAAAGGAAAGCTGCACCAGATTTTGCAATCCAGTTTTAGCAAATCAACCCCTAACAGTCTACAGGATGAAATTTGTTAAATCTACTGAAAACAGTGTCCACAATCATATATCTATACAACACAGTTCCTCATTCACAAGGGCTGATACCACTGGCCAAAGGAAAGGTTACACTAATCTGAAAGTTTGTAACTAAAAATAATAATATATATATATATATATATACATATACACACACATGCACACACTAAATGTCAGGGATCGCGGCGGCTCCTCGTCCAGCGCACGCGCACTAGTGGCGGCTGACGCTGGGACACAAGCACCAGGTCCCGGCGGGCCGCAGCTGA